TTTTGTTGTATGCATAACTGACGGAGTAGAAGACGTTAAGAATTGGGATGCCAGTTCTTTCGTCGATTTCCAAATTTGTTCAGACGCTGTGGACCGCTTTATTGGGCCTGCTGTTTGTGAAGAGCTTGACGTTGAAATACGTAACGCCGGCTTTCGAAATTCTTTCATCGTCGTTGTCGGGGTAGAGGCTTTAGGTGGTCTTGTGGAACGCTCCAATTTCGCTGACGTTCTCTTGGTCGAAGAGGTCGAAATACGCAATGTTACATCTTCTAATTTTGATTCTTTAGTCGTCTTAAAAGTCATTTTGGACCTGTGTGTCCCAGCAGGTGCCGTGGACTCCTTTACTGTTGTACCTGGTTTAGTTTGCCTCGCACTTTCTATCGAACTAATGACTGTTGCTCTGGCCTTTTCTTCGAATCTTGGTTTTTCTCTCAGGCCGGGAATTCGAGGACGGCTCGATACAGCGACCGATGGACTTCCTAACTTTAATCTACCTACAGTAGTAGTTTCCAACACGGGTGTTTTAGAAGACCTACCGGCAGTAGGTAAATGTTTTAGTACCGTAGGTTTTTCAGTTGGTCCTATCCCTCTCTCGAAGGTACGAGTTGAAGGAATAGAAACATTGAATAATTCTGGCTTAGATGCTTTCGTAGCTCTTGTTTCAGGTGAGGACGTTTTGTAGGGTGCTTCTGTTGCCTTCGTTAATTTCGTTCCTTCTGCTGAACCAGCAACCGAAAAATTGAGAACAAGGTTGGGCACTGTCGGTACTTTAGTTGGGGAAACTCTCTCCTGTTTTGCTTCAGTCTGCAAAACTTTCGGGGTCGTTTGTGCAATATCTTTTCTATGAGCCATCGTATGCTTCGTTTCACTTAATGAGGAAACCTGGGGAGACCTTGTTACGTAAGAAAGTTTGGTGTATGGCTTCTTTTCTTTTTTCATTGATGCGTTGGTCTCATGCTGTCTCTCGGTAAGCAGTGCGTCCAGGCCTTCCGATATTAACGTCATATTCTCCGATGCAGGTAGTACGTAGGTTTCTTGTGTAAAGTTGAAAATCGCGGGAAGCCCTTTACTCTTCTGGGCAGAAATTTCACGCTCACTGAATTGGACACCTGATGCGTTGAAAAGTCTTGTAGCATTTTCTTCATATTCTTCTAAGGCGCTTAAATTATCTGAAAATAATAATTCATATGCAGCGCAACAACAGGGCTGTAGAACATACTAAGAGTTGAGATGATTTCCTTAATAAAACTGACGTTGGCTGCTTTGGAATGCTCATATTTTTTTCCAGCCCTCTCTATTCCTTTTCGCGTAATAATCTCTGAAGGTGGAGCTGGTGCTTGAGTGTGGGCATTTTTTAAAGTCTTATTGAACGTCGTTGCTGAAGACAAAGGTTTGGTGAGGAATTGACCAACGACCCTAGCTTTGGAGAGCAGATTCTGCCTTCTTTCTGAGGTTGCCTCTTCGTTCGCGAAAATTTTATTCGATTCGGTCGTTCGTTTCAAGACTACTATCGTAGCAGCGCCAGGGCCTTGGAAGAAATCTAAAAGACGTCTATCTTTAAATCGTAAAGTTTTCACATCAGCATCAACAGCTAACCTTAGTTTAATCTGAAATAACTTTCATCCTTCGGCACGATGACGACCTCGTTTCTCATCGAGTTCCAAACTCAAGCTAATCTTGAATTTGCGATCATGAAAGTTGTCTATGAAGACTAAATCTACGATATACAATCATACGATTTGGCTAAACGTGGTATGAGGCATAGGAAACTAAGATTTGTATTGCCGGTAGTAGACAATAGCTCAAAGGTCCTTATTTTGCCTCGATGGTTGACCAACCGAAACTGGACATTGCACTATCCACGTTTCTCACATATACAGTTTAAACTTTGATATTACTGGCACTCTAAAACATTATTTGATTACATATAAACTGACATTTCAAAGGTTCCAGCCACAACGAAACAGATGCATTGTAGTCTTCACTGCAATTGTTAATGCTTCAGAAAAACCACTATACCCGTCCTAATGGAAAACAACATTGTCGTGTCTAGAACCTTTGAAGGGTCAGTCTTTGAAGAAGAAGCTACAGAAGTGAAATGAGCTTCAGAAGTCATTGTATCAGCAGTATTGCCCCAATCTGCTTTTATGTTACCTCAGGATGAAGTTATTGAAGACCACTGAGAGTTGTGGATGTAGTTAGGCTAAAACGACGGCGTTCTACTAAACACTGTTATCCGTCTATTTCACTGTGTGCACAACCAGCGAAGTGCCAGTTTATTTAAGAAAAAGACACAGGAGCAAAAGGCGTTTCAGACATCATCATTTCATGATGTCTGTATGCACAGGTGGGATCAGTTACGTATAAAACAGGCGCTGGTGTCGAAACCCTGCTTTAGGAAGTCATATTTGGCAGAAACATCTTAAATCGTTACTTTCCGTTGTAAATATTACATATTGTTTTATATTGTACTTTTTATTCTTTATTCTTATGCTACCTAGTGTAATATCTTATTTGTTATATTTAAAGCGCAATTTTAAATGGTAACATAATAAACGTTTTGACGAATATCTTTTTCCTCACCGCATTCTGGAATTTCTTCTTTTTTGCTGCTGTAAGTTCCATTTATCATAGTTCCATTCTTGCTTTCCACGCACCAGCAATGACCAACTGAATTGTCGCATTGAAGAGGTTTGAAATTTCCTGAAACGATAATAAACATGTAATGAATTTTTGCATTACGTTTGGTAGGAAGGTTTGTTTTCATGCTCTAAATGGCACTGCTATTCATATTCAATCCTTTTCACGCATTGCAATGAGTGACAGCTATCGGCGGCAAAGTGGTTGGCTTTGAACTCGGGAGAAAGGCAAAATTTGCCCAATCCGCTGATCCCCTTGAGCAAGCAATTTTCCCATCGTTTTTTTCGGTGCAGCCTGTCAAAAAACAGTCGATGACACGAATGTTGCAGTTGCAGTCGTAGTCGTCATCTCGGGTATCAGGATCAAAGGCCTAGCATCAAGGATAATGATGTCTGACGCCTTGAGTTCACAGAACGATTTAGGCAATGTAGATGCTACGACAAGGGTTATATGCTTCGTTGCAAGCAAGCCCGCCCTTAGCAACAGTTTTAGGCTGCGATGTTGGCCTCTGACACGCCTGCGGCCATCGCTTGCTCGCCACAGGAGAACAGAGTCCTATATGTTGCTATTCTCTTATGTGAAACCATCACAGACGCCGGTCCCTAATTTCTTCAGACATCATTCTCAGGCCGGTCCTCCCCAAGGTCTTTTCATTGTTCATTCGACGGAACCATCGCATTTTCAGAATGTTCTGCAGAAAGCGCTGCTGGAAAGACTCAAACATCTGTTCGTAGCTCTATGTTTATGTTTCATTGTCTATGTTTCAATGTTTGTGATCAGATCTGAGAAGACGGCGACTTTCGGTATGGTGATCCTTGTTGCTGTCCAGATAGGTCGGTTTTGCCACTGCTGCAAGGAGGGTGAGCTGGTACCCTTGCACCCTTGCCCTATCCATCTAAAATCTTCACATTCCAGCAGGCGATACGGATCTTCTCCTTGCTGACGTTGATCGAATGGATGTCAAATTCTACTAAACATAGGGATCTGTGGACGAGCACCACTTGTCATCGCACAAGCGTCAATTAAGGAGGTCAGCGGAACAAAATCACTTGCGAATAACATGGTGACATGGTCTTCTGATGTAGTGTACGGCCATTCTGTCTGTTGCAAGCTCTTCATAGGCTGCAATTTGCCTTTACTCCGCTGGTAACTGTTCATTCAACAGAAGATATAGCTGTTGTTGTTGTTCTGGTACTAAAGTATAACATGGCATGACACGGCGATGCACCTTTAAGAGAGAACTTCCCAACCGAGACTGTAGACATGATGAACCCTCAACAAACTATGACTTGTTAAGAACCCGCTTAAACGATTTTTAACATGGCTTTGGTAACAGGATTTAGTAAGTCTATTTGCGCCTTTAAGACAGTTCCGTCTGCGAGAATGACACCGTCACTGTACCGAAGGATTGCAATCCATCTGCTGTACTGAACTTTAGACTAGTCACAGTAAAATCATTCATCTTCCTCTATCCACTAACGAGAGGACAACGTTTATCGAAGAAAAAGTACGAAAAGCCGGACGATGCTCAATGGATGATGCCAATGGATTAAGGCAATATCACCTCCCGTAGAAATTGAACAGTCAAAACCTGAAAATCCGGCTTAACAACATCGTTTTCTAAACCTGTACATCATGTAGTTCACTTTACGGCTGTCATTTTCAAATTATATTTTATGCATCATTGATGTTGGATCGTTTGCAAGGAAAATTTACCTTTCTGTTCAATTTTTGAGTCAGCTGAACGATTGCATGGAATAAACGTTCATCTGGGATTGCCCATTACACTAGACCAAGTTTACTTCAAAATATCAGACAAATGGAAGGCCTTTCTAAAGTTCGCTTTCAATCGTTTGAACCTATTAAGAAAGACGAATTTGTGTACACCAAATTTTCCTGTAAACATCGATGAAAATA